TTGAGAATTTTGGCTAGGAAACAATAATACTCTTTTCAAAAAGAAAATGTCTAGCTAATAGGGTTGACCTTTTACAAAGCAAGAGACAATACAGATCCCTGTATTACTTACATGTACTTTCACAAAACAATGTACCTGTTTTTCAATCCCCAGGAAAATGGAAAGTTGTGAAAGTTTTTTTTATACCCCCTGCATCAATTTTTCAAATTATTGATCATGATGGCAATGTATTGTTTGAAAATTCAGAAAATACTCGCACAGAGCCTTTGAATGCCAAAAAATGTTTTAAGCGAGGTTTTATTGAGTTGGCAAGTCCAAATTGTATAGGCGTAGGATTTTCTTATTTCGAGACCTTTTTCTGTTTCCTTGCAAGAATTAGAGTCTGAATTGTAAATGGTTTAGAAAATTATGGTTTTACATTAAAAATTTCCCTTTACATACAACTGTTTCAGATGACTGTGATGGAATGGGAGAAGATCACTGTATATAAAGAAACAGATTTCAAAATGTTATCAGACAAAGCTTTCAGATTTTCCTTTTTGTATTGTCAAAATTCAACCTGAATATGAAAGCAAAATGTTTGATGTTTTAACCGAGCCCTTGCTAGTGTATGAATAAATACACCCCTTTTAGAATCAATTTTTGATGAAAATAATCATATATTTTACCATTGAAAATGAAAGGGAAATTTTAATGCAAAATCGTATGCATGGGAAAACGAACCAGGGTTGGATATTCCACAAATTTCCTTCTTTTTTTTTTTAATTCTATGATTGATGAAAGAAGAGACACGGGAGACTCTGGTCTTTAGGCTACTACTATAGTGGTTCAAAATATTTGTGTGATGCAGATGAACAATCTGCGAAAGAATTTGTTGGATCTTTTGCAATTAAGAGATCAGTTTCTGAAGGCACAAATACTGCTGAAGTTCTGTGTCCATCGAATTTCTTTGTCTGAAAATGAATCGGGAAAAAATATCCAAAAAGTTGTAAAATCTTTACAAAAATAGAACCAATTTAGAAAGGCATAGCTGTTATTTTACGTGAAATTGCTGGGTTACAAAATTGGAACTTGCACAAACTGTTAAACTTTTAGTTCAGAATGTTTGTTTGATCAACATATGTATCTTTGGAATTAATTCTCAGCTTATGATGCCTTGTAATTATGCAAGAACCCTTTTTGAAACTCGCCATTCTGTATTGTTAGATTTTGTCAGGAAAGAATATGTCTTGTTTGAATATATTTTTACACCTTAGGAGTTTATAAATGTAAAGATCCTCTGATAGAATGTCCACTTGATGTACAAAATTACTGCTGAAATGGGGACTCTTACTTAAACATGTTAAATATGTAGCGTGTAGAGTGGTATTAAAATGTTCAGCAACTTACAGAAGACACTAATGGGCCTGGGTCAAGAGAGGCTTTTAGTAGTGAGGGGAATGAGGCAGGCAACAAACTTCATAGACATTTTAGAAAAATAATCCCAACTCGCTGGGTTTTTTTTACCTGTGGTCATAATAAGAGAACTTGCCCAGTTTTAAATTCTAGTTTATAAATCTTCAAATGAATATTTCTCCAGATTATGATCATTCGCTGTATTTATTTCATCAAGTATCAATATTCATTATCATAGATTTTTTTTTTAAGGAACAAAGTTCACCATGGGCCTTTAATGACCCTGTGAATTTCTGCAAAATCGAAACTGTTCAGGTTTAGTAAAAACTACATTAAATTTCACTTGGACCCTTGATGACTTCATATCTATTAAAAATGACGTAACTTTCTCGCTAGTCCATATATTATGACGTCATAAATTGCGTCATTATTCTCAAATGCTGAAAAATTCTTCAAAAATGGTGAAGGGCTTTTTTAATCTTGAACCACTTTAGAAGAAATTTTCAGCTTAAAAGCTGTTGTTCAATATTTTGCGTAGACCCCAACCTCTGATCCAAACGTTCAATTATATCAGGGTTCTCCACAAGCAGAAAAAGAACAAAGAATTCAGCTCCTAGGATTCCATCACCAAGAGTATATATGCATAAGTACTGCAATAAGAGAACATTTGAAGTATTTGTTGTTTTTTTTTATCAATCCCAGTGACGAGTACCGTTGTGCATTACGTCACAACCTATTTTGACAACTGCGCTCAAGGTAAATAGTACACGCCTCCTAACCGCAAGCTATACGATTGATGGTTTCTCCTTGTCCCAGATTGGTTGCTCGTGCAACAGACTATTTCAGGGGAAAACACAAACAAGAAACAAGTGGGCATGTGCCATTTAATTACCAGTTTTCACAAGAACATTTAACGCATTTTCTTAGGTGGCACGGATTCATCTGAAATTAACAAAAAAAACTTGACATTATTAAGTGGTAAATATTTCAATTTAATTAGTATTGTTTTATAAGGAAAGACATAGGCAAATGTAAATATAAAAGAATGAGATAATTTTTTTCCTTAATATTAACTCACCCCAGGGATACGGTTTGTTTGGACTTCGGGCCTCCTCAATGCCGCAGGAAATCAAGGACAAAGAAATATATGAGAAAAAATCTGCTCGAGAACAGCTAAGCCATTTGTTTTATTGATATGGAAGCATGTTCAGGTAGGTTAAAATTCAAGCCCCCCCCCCCCCCCCCAATCTAAACTTGTCATTACTGAACTGATTTGTGCCTTTTACTAGCCAATGTGCTCAGTTGAGGGATGTGGCCTATGGGCCTCTTGTTACTTTCATGCTAGATCTATCATTGTTATTTTAAGTTGATTTTGATTATTTTATTTGAATTTTCCTTATGTTTAAATAAATGTGTCAATGAGTTAACTTTTACTTACTAAATTTATACCTTGGCAGATGGTTGAACATTATTGATTTTTTCACTTTTTATGCCATTACTGCAGGTTAAATGTGAGGTAGATGCTTCAAGTAAAGTGAACAAGAGATTGTCAAAGTAACTACTATCAGAATCAAATATCCGTATCTTCAAAAATTAGGTCAAAATTTATAGTGCATTCTTGTCGCCCGCGTGGCGCAGTGGTTAGAGCGTCTGCTCTAGAGTCGCGGAGTAAGGAGTTGATCCTTACGTCGCGGGTTCGAATCCCACTGTGGGACGTGGAGACCTGTCCTCCGGATGAGACCGTATAAACCGAGGTCTCGTGTCGCAGTAAGTGCTGGCACGAAAAAGATCCCTCACTGCTCAATGGCCGTAAGTGCCGAGTATAGGACAAAATTTGCAGCTCTCCACCGGCAAGTGGTGGCGTCTCCATATGAGTGAAAAATTCTCGAGAGGGACGTTAAACAACATACAAACAAACAAACATAGTGCATTCAAAATCAGATTTATATGCACTGCAGTCTGCAGTGTATTCTCTATTTACATGAAGCAGACTATAGTATGCACATTCGTAATGCTATACAGAAGTTAAAATCTTCTTCGTCGGAATTGTGGGAGAATATACCCCTTAGTTTGGAGATTTTGTTGGCCCTTCGGGCTCGGTTTTTTATTTAACAAAATCACTCGACTAATTCTCCAACAATTCCTCCGACGCGGGAATTCTTAAACAAGTCATTGTTTTTAGATGTTCAATAGACAATTATTTTAAATGTGGTGCCTTGTGAATGAGTTTACTCAAAATGTCTCTTCCTTCGGCAGTAAGCATCTGGTAAATTGGTACTGATGATAGTTGTATCGGCATGCACGGTCTTATCAAATAGATCTTTTGCAAAGGCACTCATGCATGTATTATTATCATTACACGCTTTTAAAACGTAAAACTTTTATGCATTATGCTATTCGATAAGTGGTGCGATTTAAATCTTGCAAATTATTCTTGATTTTTTTTTATTTCTGGTATTATTGCAGTTGACCAGAGAAAAATTCAATACGTGGTCTTATAAATGAGTTCAACAATCAATAACAGAATCTCTATAGGTCCGCAGCATTTTTCATGAACTACAAAAGAGTTTGAATAAAACTTAGAATTTTAACTTGATTATGCCCTTGTCATGTTAAAATATATAGATGACCTCAATACTGCAGGTACTGGGTAGTTTGCTAAAAACTAAGTGATTGCCACATCATGTGACCAGTCCTTATCTCAAATCTACATGTAATCGTCCTTAATATGTAGCTCTTAATTCATATTAAGTGTCTCCAATATTGGTGAAGTTTTAGAAAGAAATGTCCTTCCTATGAAGAATTTATATGTTTTCATCACAAAAATGCAGATCTTTCCTTTAAGCATTTTAACTGCAACGTGTTGAGTTCAGTTTTTATAATTTTTTGTTACATGCATCTTGTGGAAAATGACTGGGGGGGGGGGGGGGGGGGGGAGATCGTTTGGCCAACTGCATAAAAATGTCTTTTTACCATTTTTAATTCAGGCACTGTACGTATCTACAACAGGGTTGAGTATTTCAAATCAGCAATATTAAAAATAAAGATTTTGTACGCGTTCTGTTTTCGTGGTGTAAGTATTAAAAAGAACTTTCTTAACATACAGTATTGGATAAAAAATTCGGAATGATAAACCAGCGCCATTCATTAGCCTTTACGTCCATCAAATGGAAGACAACAATAGACATGACTGGTCATTTTTAGCATACTTTATTTTCAAGTCTTTGAAAAACAATTTTCTTGTGTCCTTTGAGTTGTGAAGTTTCCTTCCACCTCAGTTCTTTTAGACATTACAAAGGAACATCAAAATGTTAATAAATCCTTGCTTTCCTCAGTCAATGTACAGCATTTACCGAAATTTTCAAAAGCCCTAAGTCCCATTGCCGGACATGGAGACCGGTCCTTCGGATGAGACCATATAAACCGAGGTCCCGTGTCGCAGTAGGGGTTAGCACGAAAAAGATCCCTCACTGCTCAATGGACCTGAGTGCCGAGTATAGGTCAAAATTTGTAGCCCTCCACCGGCAAGTGGTAGCGTCTCCATATGAGTGAAAAATTCTCGAAAGGGACTTTAAACAAAAAACAAAAGCCCTAAGTAGTCTTAGACTAGAACCCAAAGAATCAGTCTAAGAACTCGTTTGTAATTTTATTTTCCGGCAAACAAATTATCAATGTCGTTTGGTAAAAACGTCATTTTGTTGTTTCACATCAAATTCGGCCACCTTTTTGTAAGTCTGTGTTTGTCGTGAGCAAATGGTAAATATTCTAAAAAAAAAAAATTTGTATTGGCAACGATTAACGGATCAATTTACCATTCTGTAATATTTCAAATAACTACTATCAAGTATAAGAATGAAAAATCAGTTGCCATCTTGCTTGGTTAAAACACATCTGCCTTTCACTGTTAACACTTGTATTAGAGAAAGCCAGGAAGAATATCAAATGAATTAGCTTCTAAGTAATTAATGAATAAAATTGTTTATTAATTATGCAAAACTTACAGAAGAAGAAGTAGCGAAACGAGAACACAGCTGGCCGTCACCAAATACACCGTCCCTCTGAAGAAGGAGACTGTATGGGAATATATGGAGTTAAAAAACAGACTTCCTATGATACCACAAGTTGTTTCAACCGCAGATATCCCACCAAATAGGGCTCCTGTGATGTAAATGAAATGATTCATTATAATAGATATTATACCTAAACTTTAATATTGTTGCTAGAAAATGAATGATGTGTTTCGATGTACTTGTAAAGGTATTAAACTTATTTAGCAATCAGAAAACAACCTTGCTTGTCTGGTGACGTCATTCTTGACATGATTGCACGAATCATTGGTAGAGTTAAAACGCCACCACCTCCAACAATCGCAGCTGTAATTTATAATAAAAATATTCTTTTTTTTAGTTAAAAAAATAGCTGCAGAACTCTAGCGTTATTGTTTTATATTTTAGTCTTTGTTCAACAGTTCTGCAGCTAAAACCATAACGCTAGAGTTCTGCGGTTAAGTTAAAAAGAACTTGTGGGTTTGAGTCCTCGTCTGATTGGACTTGAAAACTAAATTCTAATCAAGCTGATGCTTGCATTTGATTATTAAACAATTTCTTGAACGTGTCATCTCAGCATTGTGGATTTTTTAAATGTTATTAACATTGATATTTTCTCATTATAAGATACTTAACAATACATTTCATAATTGAACTAGTATTAATTGTAACGGGGACCGTTACAGATGTTCCCCAAACGCTCCCCAACTTCCTTTTGGTGTCTTATTCCCTGTAAGCTTCATTAAATAAGGCAATCAAGTATATTGGGTTTTTTTTTACGCATTACACAGGCGCGCACAGGCATGCATGTACAAAATGACCATGTCAACTTGTCTACACTTTTAATACATCTTTATATTCAAATTTCATTAAAAGAAAAAAAAAATTCGGCTATATTAAGTATATCTGTCATTTTACGCATTGCATGCGCGCGCACGTGCATGCATGTCCACGATGACCGTGTCATCTCGTCAACACTATAAATATATCTACATATTTCGGGTATCAATTCATTTCATCAAAAAGTATAAAAGTTACAGCTATACCAAGTATATTGGTCATTTTAGCATTGCATGCGCGCGCACGTGCATGCCTATGCATGTTGACAATGTCGTCTTGTCTACATTTATAATATGTCTATATATTCTGAGTATCAAAGCATAACATCAAAAAATGTAAAAGTTATGGCTATATCAAGTATATTGGTGATTTTACTCATTGCACGCGCATGCACGTGCATGCAAATGCATGCATGTGCGCGCTGATCATGTCATCTCGTCTACACTTCTAATATATACTTATATTCTGAGTTTCAAAGCAATTCATCTAAAAATATACAAGTTAAGTCTATATCATTCGTATAGGTTATTTCAATCATTGCGCATGCGCACACGTGCATGAATGTGCATTTTGACCATGTCGTCTTGTCTACACTATTAATATATCCTGATATCCTGAGTATCAAAGCATTTCATCAAAAGAGTTGAAAGTTATGGCTATATCAAGTATATTTGTCATTTTACTCATTGCACGCGCATGCGCGTGCACACACGTGCATGCATGTGTGCGCTGATCAAGTCTTCTTGTCTACACTTCTAATATATATTTATATTCTGAGTGTCAAAGCAATTCATCAAAAAATGTACAAGTTAAGTCTATATCAATTGTATTGGTTATTTTAATCAATGCGCATGCGCGCACGTGCATGCATGTGCATTCTGACCATGTCATCTTGTCTACACTATTAATATATTCTTATATTCTGAGTATCAAAGTATTTCATCAAAAGATATAAAAGTTATGGCAATATCAAGTATATTGGTCATTTTACTCATTGCACGCGCACGCACGTGCATGCACGTGCGTGCAAAATGACCTTCGTTCCGCAAATCTACATTACATTCCTATTAACCCTAAAAAGGTTTCAACTCAATCGGATGTATAGTTTCGGAGATCACTCACGGACAAAAAAGTACCCAGGAAGAAAAATAATAATAATAATAACTAGACTCTTGTTGCCATGGCAACAAAAAAGTCTTCCGTTCTTCTAAATCTGTAAGAATTTGCTTTTTTCTGTGTAAAAAACATACATATCATATTTACTGTGAAAGAAAAAAATAACTGGAAAAAAGTCCTTTCAGTACTTAAGGTACTTTGATTTTCATTATCAATCTTGTATAATACATTTGGCACCTATAAGAGATATACGTATATCATTAGCAATTTAAAAAAAAAATGTTTGCAATCATTTCTAAGACAAACAAACAGACGAACGAACACCGTACTATCATAAACTTCACTGTGTGTATGTTTTGGCATAATTGTGATGGTGTTATAAAAAAATATAATGAATTAAGTTAGTATCACATTAAACGTAAAGTCACTGAGTTTTGTAAAGTTATAATATCAAGATTTGACAACATACCTATAAGACAAATTATTCAATTACATTTATTCTTCAGCAATCGATTGATTGATTGATTGATTGATTGATTATACGTATGTTGTTTAACGTCCCTCTCCAGAATTTTTCACTCACATGGAGACGCCACCACTCGCCGGTGGAGACTGTAAATTTTTGTCCTATACTTTGGCATTTATCGCAATTGAGCAGTGGGGAATCTTTTTTATGCCAGCATCTTCTGCGACAAGGGACCTCGATTTATACGATCTCATCCAAAGGACCGGTCTCCACGTCCCACAGTCGAAGTTCATAATACCGAGATATTTTATTTTTTATTTTATTCTATTTTTTTTTCACAAGTTTGTTGCAGCAGATTTACTTAAAGATCATACTTCAAGATCATTTCGAACTCAGGCTACTTAATTGCAGTGCATACAGCGTCAAGTGATTTTGATTGACAGGTCAACACACGTGCACTTCGTGTGATACTTTTTAAGCTGAAAAATATACAGGATGTGACCATGACTGACTATGAAATCAGAAAACATCTAATAAAGAATGGGTGTGACCGATAAAGAACTAATTTTTGGTCTGGATCGGGATTAAGAGGGAATCTCTCCTCTCTCTCTCTCTCTCTCTCTCTCTCTCTCAGACATGTAAATTGAACATTTCATAATTATAAAATATGAAATTCTGTATACATGTAAATGGTAATGTTATTCACATGTTCCAGATTTAAATCTAAAACGAATATATAATTCAAATTCAAGACGGGGGGGGGGGGGGGCTTCAAAGGAATTAGATAATTTTATGAATTACAAGGAAAAGTACGGACGTCAGTTGCATGTACATGATTATATATCATTGCATAAAATTGTGTTCATTCAGATATACTTATCCCACATATCAACAGACATGTACAATTTTTTTATCATGTTTTTTTTTTTTTTTTTTTTCAAAAGAAACATATAGCGTACCATTATTTCACACACTCTTTAACTCTTTGAGTATTTCACAAGAATCCAAGAATCGCCTTTTCACATCTTTTATAATTCCTTGGGTATATAGAGTATAGATCATGTGTCATAAATAATTTAACCTTTTATCAGATATATATGTAATAACCAAATCTAATCTATAGATTGATTTTCTTTCTTTTCAGTGGCAGATATCAATTTATTTATAAAGGCTTTAAAACAGTACTGTATTACAATTTTCTATCGCTTAATTCCTTTTTTGAGTGTATGTAATATTTTTTAATATCGAAAGTAAAACTCGGAAATCGGGATAATTTCGCATTCAGATCATAGAGAATAATAAATCGTCTGCATTATAGAAGGCTTATAACTATCGTATTCTGAACTTAATATACGAAATAGATAAAACTGCATGCCTGTCCATCACTATAAATGTATATTCAGTGCTTATAATATATTTACTTGAATTAGCTACCTAGCATATATATATTAATTTTTTTTTAGATATATTCATGTGTAAATTAACTAACTGTCAATACAGACTTACACTACACTGGCAACTTCAAACTTTACATGCACTGGAAGCGGTAACCAACGTCCTCTTAAATTTTGAAGAGTGAATATAGAACGTCTAAATATTTTGATATGGAGAGTGTATATGTCTCTAACGTCATCGATACTATTTCCGCCTTTATCTCGAAAGTTCTATTCTCACTTACAAGTCAGAGTTATCTTTCTTTGCCCATTGTCTACACACTAGGTAAATAGGGAAAATGAGGGTACCGAAAATCTAGAAAATGTGGAATCTGATTTCAAAACAAATTATATATTTAGTATTTGTAGAATAACCTCTGTTATACATAATAATATCTTGAAAAAATATTAAAAAACAAAAAAGTTGAAAATTGACCAAACACAAGTTCACTTCCGGTTCGGACAGGAAGTACCGGAAACACACGAAAACAACTTCGAAACAAAGAGAATGTCATGATCTAATACTCCTGTAAATTTCACATCTTTACCTCAAACCGTTTCCGAGAAAAATTCCGGACAAAAGTCCATTTAAAAATTGGAAATTCGGCCGTAACTTCGGACCGGAAGTGAATTTTTCAAAAAACGGAATTTTACATAAACTTCATATATCAGCCTACTATCATGTGAAAAATTGTGAAAATCTATCCAACCATCTCTGAGTAATCGCGCTCACAAAATTTGGGAGGAATAATAATAATAATAATAATAATAAAAAGAAACAATACAATCACTATAAGTCTTCCGTTGTGAACGGAAGACTTAACTAGAAACTCATTACTAGTAATGAGAAGGTCTTCCGTTATACTACTTCCTGTTTGCATGAACATGTCTTTTCCAACGTCGGTATTAGCCTAAAACTTATGTAAAAACAAAATAAGTTAAAAAATACTTTTTTGCTTCGTTTCCTGTCACGATCGGAAGTAATGACGACACACGATTTTTACACGAAGCAAAAGAACTGATGACTGACTATAAGTCCTCAAAGTTTTAGACTTCAGTCTTTAACTGTTGCCGAACAATTGTGAGAACAAATTCTAATTTTGAAGACAGGAAAACACGCGACCGGAAGTGAAGTGAATAAAAATTTTCTCTTGACTTTTGCAGTATCTACAGCATATGTAAAAAACATTTCAAATACTTATCTATAAGTGATATTTATGAGAAAGTTAAACCACGAAATAACGTAGTTTATCTCTTAAAACCGGAAGTTTAAAGTTTTTTTTCCCGGTGGAATCTAACATATTTCAAAACAGCGAAAGGGAAGCAATAAAGTGATGAAAGTTTTAGTTTTAAAAAAGAAAAGTTGAAATTTTTGTTTTCTTCTATCACTTCCTGTGATCACCGGAAGTGACGACTGACGCTTTTAACCCTATGTGGTTTGCCTTCTCACCAAGTTGTATTACTCCTATAAG